ATTTCGTTCAGCGATAAAACTTAGATTTGATTGAACGAGTTAATAAACCAAATTGTAGCATTTGGAGTGTTGATAATTTACAAGCCATTGCAGAGACGCCGTGACATCCACAAATTGTCTAATCACTATTTGGTGAACTCTATGGACAGAGGGAAATATCGGTCCATATTTCTTCACAAATGAAGTCGGCCCTAACGATACAGTCGATGGGGAAAGCTATAGAGCCATTATTATGTGACTTTTCCGTTGCTGAATTGGTGGACGAACTTTGGTGCCAACAGGACTGCGCTTTATGCCAAACAGCCCACGAAGCAGTCAATTTATTAAAGGATCTTTTGGCGAGCACCAAAATGCCTTATATTTCTTCTTGAAAACCACAAATCTAAAATGAAAAAATCTGAAAAACATCCCTTACATGTTTCTTTGTTAAAGAATTTCCCAAATAGAATACTCGGTTTTTAATTTCAAAGTTCCTAGAGGGGTTTCTGTTTGCATCACACAAATAACTTTCGTTTAATATTTCCATTTACTTATTCAAGTGGCGACCGCGATAGCCGAGTGGTTAGCGCTGTGTACTGACATTCGGAAGGCCCGGGTTCATTTCCCGATGCCAGCAACATTCAAAAGTTTTGGAAAATTAATTTTAATAAGAAATTAAGTTAAATTTTCTAATTTCGGTCGCCCCTCGGCAGGGAATGTCCACCCCACCGAGTGTATTTCGGACATGAAATAAAAAAGGCTCCTCATAAAAAAACCATCAGCCGTTAGGAGGTCGCTTGTTCATACTAAGGTAGGTCCCTCCATTTGTTGGTAAAACATCAAGACGCAAAAAAAGGAGGAGCTCGGCCGAAAACTCGCTTCAGCGGCTACATAACGCCAATTATATATATTCAAGTTCGGAAATTGTTGGCTTTCATTTGCAATCAGGTGACCAAACTTGAGCCAATTTTTTATTTCCTTGAAATATTTTTAGTGGAACTTAGAATGGATTTAGATTGAGAATTTTCAATTCACAGTCGTATTTTGGAAGGCAACCAATAATTTCCATTTCACCAATCATACATACGGATGTGTATAATTATTTATGTACAAATGCACACATATACAGCCTTGGCCAAAAGTATTAGGCACCCCACTAATATACAAGTATTCTCAAATGTGGCTATCAAACTATTGGTACACCCGGTGTGACGTTAGCGAGGCGACGGGTTAGGGAAGAATATCATCCAGATTGCGCGGTACCCACTGTTAAGCATGGAGGAGGCAGCATTATGACCTGAGCTTCACGGCTGCTGATGGTGTCGGCGAAATGTTTGTTTGCGCGGGTCGCATGGACAGTCAAAAATTCATAAATGTATTGGAAGCTGTTCTTCTGCCTTCGCTAACGCGCATTTTTGGCGATACTAATTTAGACAGGGTTCAATTTCAACAAGACAATGCGCCTCATTATGCCTCTTTAATAGAAGCCCTTATTGGCAAAAAATTGAGACAGTCGATTTTCACAAGTCCCTCTTGAAGTGAATTTTTTGCCCGCAAAATTGTTGTCCTCATGGAACACAATTCCTCTCCTGTTGAAGCAACTCTTAGTAGATAATTCCACGCCAATCCCACCAAAATCACAGCAAAGCTTTGCGGGCCGTCAATCTTGGCTTGGCCACCGTTTCCGTCGGCTCACCGCGTTTCGACGACGACCGTTTTCGATTGAGGTTATCGTAAGTGATCCACTTCTTCGCCTGTCTCCAACTGCTTCAGATATGGGTCGATTATGTTGCGATTCAGCAGCGATTCGTAGATGGAAATTGCGTCCACTCGTGTGGCATCCATACATAAAGCTTCTTGTCATAACCAACTATACTCAAATGGTTCCAAACGGGTTTTAGTGCAATCTTTAGCTCTAGGAAAGTCGAAACAGTGCTTACATAACAGTCGAACTGGACAATGTCTATGATTTTATCGACGTTTTCGAAAATTGTCCTCACAGTGCATGGTGTAACTTTGACATCGAAATTACCGGAACGTTTACCGGAAGTTTATCCAAAAGTAGAATTATAATAGCATTTTTCGGTGCAATGCTGAACATTGACATTATTGGCGTCAACAACCGCGCCGTGGGTTCTACTTTCTCCGCGACTGAATAAGGAAGCGAAGGACATGTGAGGTCAATGTGAGTCTGGAGATCCAACGCAGAATTACTCTTGCCAACAGGTGCTACTTCGGACTGAGTAGGCAAGTGAAAAGTAAGATCCTCTCTCGACGAACGAAGACCAAACTCTACAAGCCCCTCATCAATACCGTCCGTCCATATGGTGTGGTGGTGACATAAACGATAACATCCGATTGAAAGTTTTCGAGAAAAATGTTTTGCGTAAGATTTATGGTCGTCTGAGCGTGGAAAGCAGCGAATAGCGCAATCGTTGAAGTGATGAGCTGTACGAGATATACGGCAACATTGACATAGTTCAGCGAATAAATCATCATTTGGTCCGGATGGATAAGAATACTCTAGCAGAGGAAGACTTCGACTCCGTTGGAAAGACCAGATGGAAGAAGTTTTAACTGTATTTCCATGAATGACGCGTTGTAATTGCGTAAGCGTTGTCCACCTTAACGTTTTAGTTAACAACTGGTATTTTTCCTCGCAGGGTTTAGAGAAACAAAAAGATTTTTGATTGAGTTTGGAATTCAACAACACTAGACTGGACTAAATAATTTTTCAAGGAGGAATATAAGCCTGCGGATAAGAGTCTTCAAACTTTCCTCTTAAAGAGATAGAAATACATATATATATACAAATCTGCTATGGAAAAACTTGACGGAAACCAAAGCAAATTAAAGCAAACAGCTGACCTCTTGACAGCTGTCAATAAATGACTTACTGAGTGGCTTGTATACTTGCTTGATTTGCTGTCCGGACCAATAACTTCGTTCAAAGAAGCTTTGATTTCTTAGGATGTTTCATTTGTGTTAAAAATACTCGTTGTAAAACCACGGAAGTCCGGAAGTACAGACATTGAGACCAACAATTCATGCATTTCTTAAGAGAAGTCGAGTGTTTTTGATAGAAATCAAGCAAACTATTCAAAATAGTAGAGAAATTCATTTGGGAGCAATGCAGTAATACTCCCTCACTCGGACAGTGGTAGGTAGGTAGGTAGGTGTGTATGTACGAAAGAGGCTTGTTTACTCACAGAAAAATTATATAAGGAAGACCCATGCAGATGCATGGTCTTCGAAGGCCCTGTGACCCATTACTGTGTTTGCAAGCCTAAATACATTTTCCCTGCAGCTGTTTAATAGATCCTGGTTTGTTTTTTTTGCCCTGTCACACTTGGGTTAAATCTATAGTAGAAAGAGACTCCTGACTTGACCAACTAGTCAGCTATTTCCGTAACGAAAATCATTCTATGACCAAGAACCCAAATTATGATACTGTCGAGTTGACCAGATAGCTAGCCTAGTCTTCCTTAACTTGTTGATAGCACTTGAATTCATCATTATCGAGTAGATACATGGTAAACGATAACTCCTTATAAAAGGAATCCTCCGAGCTGGTCTAATGGAGTTCAAGAATGTAACTAAAAGGAAATGGTGTTGAGTTAATTTTTATGTCAGCGATAGGCTTAGATGGGCTCTCACCACGGCAGTTAGTGGTATGCGATACCAAAAGTTGTAATAAAAGATCATTTGAACATCTACAGAGATGCTGGATCGCATTTAAAATTCTGAAGTTTATTATGGTTTTAACTAAGGGATGGCCCTCGAAGTTGGAGTTTTTAAAATTGTTATAAGAGAAGACAAACAAGTTAGTGGATGATTGGGATTGTGGTTATCCTTACCAGCTCTTGCAAAAAATTTCACACTGAATATTAGACACAAGGGAATGGAGATGTCAAAGCTCAAATAAGCAAATACTAGATGACCCCTCCTTTATAGATGTTCATCAGTTGTTTGGGAGTTGGTATATTGATGATTTTTTGTATAAGTTGAAGACGTAGGATGCGTATCGCGACGGTGGTCTATGGTACCCTTTGCATAATGCGATTAAATGTGATTCTCTTTCGGCTGCCTTGAGACATAGGCGATTTAAGGCTCCGACCCAATGCTAACTGGCTGTACCGGCTTTCTTTAGCTTGTTTTGCTTTGAATGAGCACTTTGAACACTGACAAAATTGGTACAATTCAGCCAAAGCGGCAACCGTGGTTGCAATCAATATCTACTGTCAACAACACGGTATCTCTTATTTTATATACTTCAGATCTCAATTCTGCTTTTATATCATCTCGACCATTATGGCATTAAAAAGGTCCAGCAGATGAGTTATATGTCGCTTTCCTCGCAAATTGCTCTGCAATTTCGTAGGCTTCTATTCCAGTATGTCTCAAAGTTCAAATGAGCTAAGCCACTTCAGTTTTTTAGTTCTCTGACATATACCCATACCATGACGTATTTGATTTTTCTTTGATGATATCACCACTCCATATAGCCGTGTGTTGATTATTTGTACTTATTTTTAGTATTGTTTTTGTACATGAATTGATGGCGTCCACTTATACTTGGAATATATATGGGTGCTTCTGTTACGCTGGTTCCACAATCCCCATACTAATTTTACCTGTGGCCCACAGCTGAGATTGTGGCTTTGTTTCTCACTCTAACTGAGATTTACTACACTCTTTTTTTCCAAGCATGTTCGCGTTAGAAAACACACTGTATTGAAATTTTCACCTCAATGCTGGACTGCGTGTAGCTCTTTTTTTGCTACCCTGTCAAGCGAGACGTATTTTTTCTTTTTATTTCTTTTATTTTATTCATGTTCTTTCATATTATGGTTTTAAATTGAAGTTACCCCGTTACAGCTGCGAATTGGTGCTCTTTCCCTTTTCGGGGCATAACCTAAAATAACTTGAATCTAAAGAATTTCCAATATTTTACATTAATTAATTTTATTAGCATGTTTTGTGTGATTTTGAATGTAATTTTAGGAGCTTGCTGCCTCTGCTTTTTTATTATTATATAAGTATGTATGTATTTATGTTATCAAGATAATATTTATATTATAATGTAGATTAAAATTACTTATGTTAAACATATGCTGTATTTAATATACTCAAATATACCAATATGTATTTCACTTTTTCTTTTATTTATAATTAATATCTATTTTTATTGAGAACTAATTTAAGAATTACGAATAATTCAATATTTCTAGAGTATTGTAGAAGTATTTGTGGTGTCTTGAATTCACCAAAACATAATAATATGGTGGAAAGCAAATAAAAAAAAAAAAACAATATTATATATAATTGCTTGATATTCTTTTAAATCTAACTGTTTGTTATTGTAATTCTGTCTGTGTTTTGTATTTCATTATCAGTTTGCTGAAGCCAGTTTTTAATTTCCAAAGGAACCTATCATAAATACAGTACATTTTAAATTTTAATATAACGTTATAAAGTTAATTCGGCTTTTGTTAAACAATAAATATGAGGTGTGTAATGCCTATCATTAAAATACTTAACTTATGTGAAATTAAAAAGAATGAAAAAATAAAAATTATAATAAAAATGAAAACTCATGCGAACCACTGAACAATTTTCCTTCACACAAAACCATACCAGAAAATTTGGAAACAACCTACTAAACATTTAAGTCCATGTTTTGGGTAAACTAAATGGACCTAAACGCTTGTGCTCATCCACAGCGCGCACTGCAAAGTAGTAGCGCTGGCCTTCTTGGAACTGTGTCAACGTCACAGCCATGGGCAGTAGCATAGCCTTCACATCGCCAACATGACGCCACGAATCGACAGCTGGCGGACCAGATGTCTCCTGATAGGCGTAAATTTGATAAGTAACGCATTCGGCATAACGCTCCATGGAGTCTTCCATTGTCCACGATATGACAATCCCATTCTCTAAATTACTAATGCGTATAGTGGGACGCGGTGGCGGCAACTTCCAGGCAGGGTTGAAGGATTGTGGCGGCGTACTTGGCAGCGGCGCTGGATGATTGTACTTGCGTACCGGCAGCGCGGGCGGCATATTTGCTGAACTAATGTGTACGCGCGTTATGCTCGTACCGGGCGGTGTAGAGATGTTCGACATGAGTGCGCTGTTGGTTTTCGAAGCTGTCGACGACACAAAAGGGAAATGGATCGATTAATAGAGTTTATTTTAAGACTGTTAATGTATAAATTATATATTTGACTCACCTGTCATAGGAGTTTGTTGACGCACACTCACCGCCGTTGAGCGCACCGTCGGTTGGCTCAGCGGCATACGCGTTAGCGGTGGCACAGCGCGGGCAGTGTTCATTGTTTGGTTGAGAACACGTTGCGGTGCTGCCGTTGATGTTGGCGTTGGTGTTGCAGCATTTGCGCTGGCCACCTCATCCTCATCTGTCAGATCGATGACAGCCTTTTCCTTCGGCTTGGCCGAGGTTATAGTCACACTGCCTACGGCTGGCGAGGCTTCGTTCAATTGGTTCATATATTGGTACACATATGTGCCGGGTGTGCCCGGTGACGTTTCATTAGGACGTCGAAACTGCGGCGATTGTGTGGTTTTTGGCGCTATTTTACGTCTATTGAAAAGTATGAAAAAATTATTTAAAAAAAAATCTAAACAAAATTCAATTTTTATCAGATGATTACACTTACGCGTTAGGATTTTGCGCTTGTTGACGTGCGCATTGTTGCTGTTGTAACTGTTGGGAACGTTGTTGTTCGGCAAGTGGAAAACGACCGGGCCGTTGTTGTTGTCCCGATGCCACACCCTTATTTAGTACGCGTGGCATGCCGGGATTTAGTGGCGTTGCTGTTGCGCCAGCCGCAGCAGCTGCAGTTTGCGAGCCCTGTGCTAATGATGTTTGCAGTGCAGGATTGATACGATATGTGGGCGCACGGGGTACTGGCGACATGCCGTTATCAGGTGGCACCGGCCGCTGGGGCGTCACTTTTTGAACACAACCACGTCGCGCATTCATAGCGGCAGCCACTGCCGCTGACGCTAGCGCCGTATTCCCACCACGCGCGTCCGACGTGCTATTGGGTTGGCGTGGTGGCGATGATGGCGGTGGCATTTGACCACGTTGTGGTGATGTAGACACGTGTAGTTGGCTGCTGCTGGATGGCGCAGTCTCTGCGCTACGTTTGCTGGGCACATATACCTGTAGGCCAACAGCGCGTGTGATTTTGACGGGCATAATGAATTGTGAGTTCTTGGTTTCGATGTCTTTTAGCACGCGGTTGTGGACCATTTCCAAGTCACGAAACTGTTTTGAGATTTCAGCTATTTTGGCGCGATGCGCTGTGATCTGTTTCTCCTGCTTATCGATAGTTTCGCGCATTTCGGCAAATTCACTTTTGTGCACAATGGCTTCGACGACTTTCTGCAGTACCAATTCTTCCAAATCGGCTTTGGTAAGCTGATCGAAGTTTTTGCGGAAACGTTTGAAGAAATCTAAACTCAATGCAGGTGCTTCGGTGCTGAATATGGGCGCCGGATAGAGGGGTATTGGAATGTTTGAAGCTACAGCGCGAAGCGGTGGCAATGCTTTTGTATAATCGATATTTTCATCTTCCATTTTCGATACAGGCGTTTTAATATCCGTTGTCAATTTCTCGACCGCCAGATCACCGAGGTCAGTTACCTTTGCAATGTCTGATTTCTGCACATCGACTGTTGTATCAGGCTCCTCCTCTATTTTAGTCTTTTTATTTGCCACACCCCCTGTTAAGTCACCTTTAGACGTCTCAGCTATGTTTTCGTCCAGCACTTCGTGTGCACGTTTTGTTGCGCCCGTTGTTTGGACGCCCAACGCTTGCTCGCCGTTTTCCGCATCATTACTCTCTTCAGCTATTTTAATTACCTCTAATGCAACATCGGCTTTGGGCGCCGCCGCGGCAGACTTATTGCTGCTGCGGGATTCTTCCGATTGTTCCGCCTTCAAACTATCATCAATCTCATCAGTTAAACGTGGGCGTTTGGCGGGTGGTACTAACGACTCTTTATCGTCACTCGCGTGCCGACTATCGTCCTCCACCAGTTCGATGGCGCTACTACTCTCAGCATCATCACCATCAGCGTCGGCGTCTATATCATCTTCATTCTCAGCCTCGTCGACGACATCATCTTCGCCTGTGCTGCCCGCTGTGCCGATTTTTTCGGCTGTTTGTGTTTCTTGCAGTAGATTGCTGCTGCTGCTGCAATTGCTATTGAGGTCGTCGACGACTTCTGAAGATTTTGATTTCGCTTCATCCTCCTTTTGAACAGCACTAGTTGACTTTTCACTTTCAAATTTGTCGCAAGCATTATCGGAATTGTCAGATTGTAGCGCTGATTTATCTGCTTCCAGTGGAGCTTTTTCCGCTTTCTGTTCGTTTGCTGTTTCACTACTATCCTTAGTGTCTTTGGATTTCGTTTCATCGACGGTGCTTTCAAGTTTATCAGTTATAGCACTGCTGGATTTGTCAGCAGAATCTTTGCTTTTTTGGACCGTCAATGACTCTTCATCGTCATCGAGCAGTAAAACGACGTCGTCGTCCTCGTCAACTTCCATAGGTTTTACTTCGGTCTCCCCGGTTTTTTTGCTCTTAACATCGCCACTGTTCACTTGCTCGGTACTTGCTTTCGGTTTGGCAGCAAAGAAAACAATATCGTCATCGGAATCTTCAACTTTGTCATCCTTTTCGCCTTGCAACTGCTTATCAGCTTCTCCGGCTTCTTTTTGATCAGCCTCCGTTGTTGCTGAGCCTTTTTTCAGGTCTTCATCTTTTGCGATTTCTTCTTTAGTTTGTTTATCTACTGTTTCGGCAATTTCTTTTTCATCTGCTTTTGCAGCTGATTCTGATGTGTTAACACCAGTTGCAGTCTCCGTCGTTTCGGCATCTCCATTAACAGCATCCTCTGTGTCTTCTTTACCACTTTCATCCTGAAGCTTCTTTGCACTTGCTTCCTCTGCGTTTGCACCAGCCTCTTCATCTAACTGAACACTTTCGCTGTTTCCGCTTCTATTTACATCATCGCTTTCTTTCCCCGCTGGAGAATTATCATTATCAGACTTACTAGTTTTTTCAACCTCATCTTCCGCTTTACTAACTTCCTTATCATTATGAGCTTCAACGCTCTCAGCAGTTTTCTGTTCTGTGGCATTTTCTGCTTGCACATCTTCCTTAACTTTATCTTCCAAGATGGACTCTTCCTCAGCAGTTGTTACCGCTGTCACCTTCTCATTTGCTGCAGTGCCTTCATTTGGGACACTTTTGCTAATCGGCTCGTCCTTAGTCGAAGACGTTGTCTCAATGCAATCTTCGAGATCATTTATTTTCGAGATTAACTTATCAAGATCATCCCCGGTATTATCTAGACTAGTAGATGTTGCCGCCGCTACTGACGATGATGGCGTTGGTGCTGTAGTACTACTGTCGACCTTATCATTTGGATCTCCACCCCCAATTACGGCAGCCGCTTTGGGCACCACTTCAGCTAATAACTTATCTACAACATTGGCACCACTCTCATCATCATCGTCATCATCTCCAGCCAGTAGAGCATCCTCCAATTCAGGATTTACTACAGAGTCATTTAAATCGATTAATTCATCGAGATCCAAACCATCGCCGGCATCGGTGAAACCATTTGATACGTCACCGAGTAGGCCATTCTGTGGTAGGTCTGGAAGGGAACACAAAAATGTTAAAGACATTCCTTGAAAGTGTATGTGAAAATTTAATTAGTGGAGCTTGGGCTGAAGGTAAGTACAGAAAAACACAAAATGGTCCTTTCAATGAGGAGGTACAAACGATTTCAAGAACGCCATTGTCGTGTGATTGCTGTTGTTGCGGCATGCTTAAACCCACCTGGGAGCTGGGGAAATCTGATTATGGCGCCGAGGTCATAAAATGAGTGGTCTAGAATACGAACTATTCTGACGAGTTTGGACCAAACGAAGAAAGGTGTTAGAAGATTTAGATTTTAGTAGGCATACGCAGATTCATTACAGCCAAGGCCATCTTCATGGACGGTTCAAAACTGGATGGCAAAATGTGCCATAGAATCCACACACAAATGTACCCAATTAACACCAACCAGAAACTATCAGACACTGGCAACACCCCCTGCGGGTTAGGGGCTCAGGAATTTACCCGCGGTAAGGCATGCCTGTCGTAAGAGGCGATTAAAATCCAATAGTTCTCGCGACAGTCTTGTCTTTATACCGGAACGACCCGGATTTTTATCCGGCCAAGGACTGTCACTCCCGCAACATTCCCCAAAAAGTACTTTGGGGAATAATTTTGCGGTTACAACAACAACAACAACGGACACCGGCAACACCTTCAAAGCAAAACGTACTTTAATCAGAGAAGCCATCGAATTCGACTTCAGAGAGTCCGATAATGACACAGGTCATCTATCTGGAGATCCAAGAAACGAGCTGTTTCAACGGGTTCGAACCAAAGGGAAAGTAGAGTTTGATTAAATGGTTTTAGGCTACACGCAAAGAGATGATTAGTGTAGTGAGGGGATTCATTGCATGTAAAACACACATTGGGTATGTTGCGTTAAGTCAGGTTAGGTAGGAGTTTGGTCCACTATTTTATATCTTTGATTGTTTCATTTACCATTTGAATTTAATAAATCACTTTTCAGTTTTGTTGCCTCCAATTCGGCTATAACATCCATGCCGTCGGGCTTACCATTGCTGTTGGCTGTCGATAGCGTGTTAAAATCGTTTGTTGAGCTCTGCTTAACTTCCATCATGTTTAGGCTTGTGGGTCAAGGGTGTTTACTGTGAGTTCTGCATTAAAGTTAGCTATAAGGATAAAGAGCAAAAATATATATTTTATTAGAAATCGTGAATTTAAATACTAAAAAATAGAAAATGTATAAAAAAATATAGAAAAAAAACATATATAAAAAATTAATATTAAAAAAAATTTAATAAAAAATATATCAAAAATATATATATAAAAAAATATATCAAAAATTAATATAAAAAAAAAAATTAAATAAAAATATATCAAAAATTTATATAAAAAAATATATAAAAAATATATAAAAAAAATTAATTAAAATTAATTAAACTAAATATGTTCCAAATGTGCTATCCAAATAGGTAATTGGAAAAAATATATATTTATATTAAACAAACTTTTGCGTTAACTGCATCTTATAGAACTTAAGGAATCCCATAAAAAAGAACACAAAACAAACAAGTAATAAAAGTCGCAAAACAAAAACAACAACAAAAGGTGCAATTTAGATAGAAAACGTATGTAGCAGGAGAAGAAACGAAAAGAAAGCAAAATAAAATCAGCGAGATTATAAGAAACACGCAAAATACGGCTAAACAATGTTGAAAGAGCGCAAAAGAGAAATATAAACAATTAAAATATACGCGAAAAGAGCGCGAGAGAGCGCAGGCAGGCATTCGAAGAGCGAGTAAAATAGAAATAATATTATAAAATATGAAATAAAAGGAATAAATTAATCTAAGATTTGAAAATATAAAATATTTGAAAAATTCACAATTTTAAATTAAAAAAAAAAATTATCAACTTACAAAATAAACATGAAAAATTATTGTTCTCAAATATGGCAAATGCTGCGATTGAACGTGCACACCACCTCGCGCACACAAGCACACGTGCATATGTATGTAGAAATAAACAAACTCTCAGACGCAACTTGCAACTAACTACAAACTACAACGATAATGAAAACACAACCGGCCGTATTCACGTGACGTAGAGAACTGAAAGTGTGGCGAATGTAAAATTTTGAACGAACCGTCGTCGTGTTGCGGTTTATTTTATTTTGCTTGATGTATATGCAGATAGATAGCACGTACATATAATTTCTTGATTGGATGCGCGCTCCGAGATGGTAACTGAGATTTTCTTAGATCCATTAAAAATTTTGTCCGACAATGAACTAAATAATACCAAGAGAGAGACAGAGAGAGGTAGAGATGGAGCGGGCGTTACAACTTGAAAGTGGGATCTACAAGGATTTGAAATCTTCGGTTTGCTTCGATAATGACTTTACATACCTACATTCGAGATATTGTTATCATATGCAACTTCATTATGATATCTTCTTGGCATTATAACAAAATAAGCAATATTTTCGATGCATATACGCGTGTGTATAGCGTGTGGAACGCAAGTGGATGGCAAGTGTCGTAATGTGGTGTCAAAGCGCGTGGTTTGACAAGCTTGATTGGGAGAGATATTTTTATGCCTGATTGTGCGTATGTACATACATATATTTATTTGGGTAACATAAATCTCAAGTTTCCTGGTTCCTATCGCAAGAAACGTTACAAAAAAATTACATAATAAATAGTTTACCAGTTTTCTACTAATTAAATGGCAAAGCTTTTCACACAAAAACAACACTAAAATTAAGCTCTGGTCACTTAATAAAAGCCTCATTTACATGAATGAAAAAAATTGCAACATAAAAGAAGAAAAAGAAAAATAAAATTAAAAATAGTAAAAATAGAATAGAAAAATTAAAAAAGTAAATTAAAGGATAATTAAATATAAAAAAGAAAAACAAAAGAAAAAAACAACAGGTAAAAATTGTGAAAAATAAAAAGTAAAACATTTAAAAAAATTCCAGCCCAAATATACAACATATAAACACATTTTAAGCTTAAAAACCATCACCACCAAATAACTGGGCGCAACTCAGCCCGCTTAGCAAAGCAGTAATAAGGAAGTTCAGAAGGCGCCACGGCGCCTAATACAACAAAAGTTAAAGTAAAACCACAACTGCTAAAGAAGTAATGTTGCACAAGTGCATCAGCAAATGTATGTACATACATATACAGAGCAATTTATATTATATATAGAAATGCATACTCACGTCCATACTATCCACAATATGTTATATGAATATGTGGAAGCTAAACTTACTTGTGGAACAATTAACCGAAGTTTAAGAACAGATTTTGTGGGAAATCAAAATACGGGAGAAATACTGCTCAAAACAAATTTGCGAGATGATAGATACATATATATGTATATGGAAAATTAAAAAATGAGGTCTAAGAAACTTGAAAAAAAAAGTAGTTCATTCCATAAAATGTTCTTAAGCAAAGTGCTCAGATAAAAATCATAATCTCCGAAGGAAACCCTGGATGAGTATGTGAATTTTAAGTTTTAATTTCAAATAAAAGGTCACCCGAGAATATCATAAACACTCGTTAACTCAAGCGCAACAAGACAACATACATATATATATATATCCATACATATGCCTGTATTTGTATGTATGTATATGCAGCTAAACATAAAAAAACACGACTAACACCGAACGAAGACCGAACTGTGATGTAGAAACGAGAAGGAGCTACTGAGCTTGACGGGGAGGTATGGGATATGCATACATACATACATATCTTTTAAGAAAATTAAATTTGGAGAAAAAATTAAATTAGAAAGTAAATATTTATAAAATATTAAATCAGAAAAATATTTTAAATATATATACATACATATATAGCATATTAGGAAAATTAGAAAAAACATATTTACTAAAATAATTATTAAAGACATTAAAAAAATTGTAAAACAATGAAATTTTACCAAAAAAGAAAATTAAAAATAACCTAAAAAAAAATAACAAAAATTATTTAAAAAAAAAGATAATTTTTTACGAACATTGAAAGAGTCAAATTTTTTATAAAGAAGCCGAAGCCGAAGTAAATCGTTTAAAATGTATAGTCCACACAAGCTATATAAACATAGTGGATACCTTCGGTATGAGCGAGAAGTAACATATACATAAGTATCTATATACACATATACATATGTCTGAGAGACCAAATGTGTATCCGACGTTAATTTTGTAAAATCCATGAAAATATTTCAATTAAAAAAATTAAACATTTATACTTATATACACGTATTTCACAAAATAAGAGAAGCTTTTATTGATACTCAAGACATTAACAAAAAAAAAATAAATAAAAAAAAATATTACAAAAAATATATATTTAAAAACTACATAAAAAAAATAAAAATTAATTTTAAAAAATATTTATTATTTTTTGAAAATAAAAATAAATTTGAAAAATACCTACAAAGGTACAAAACAAGTCTCAGAAAATAATATTTCAGTTCCTTAAAAGCGCACAAAGCTTTGTTCCACATGAAAATTAATCCGAGAACCACGTCGGTCGTATAGATATTTATGTATGTAACTCAACTGAAGAGCGTTTAAATCTCATACGGAACAATCAACAAAAGGATCCTTGTGTATTCTCAGTTGCATACACACTCTTACATACCGCTTGTGAACGGGTAAGATGGTATGGATGTATTCAAATGTACAATCCCGATCAAAATATAAGCAGCGCCACATGAAACGAGCCGATGGTTTAGTAAAGAGGGTTGAGTGATGCCTCATGGTTGTCAATTTACTAAATATGTCACTTTATTAACCTAAAAACGGTGGTTAAGGAATTTTAGAATTTCGCATTAACCTTTTTGGAACTTTTACATTCTTCTCTGGCTGCTGCTCTTTACATCAAAAATAAGTAAAAAAAAAAAAATTTATTCGCAATTTAGATAGTGAAGGTGTTCGACTAAGTTTTATTTTTCTTGCGTAGAATTGATTCTCAAGGTTTTTTATCCTTGTTTTCTGTTAAATCTCTGTCGAGAAAAGGAGTTGTTCCAACGGACTCACACCAGAAAAAGAAGGGTGATGAATATGTTGATTTCAGTGGTCTTATAAAAAGCTAGTTTGAGCCATGAGGGCTTGATTAAGTAGGAGTTGAGTCGACTACAGCATTTCAGACTTTAATTATGCCAGTCATCCCTTACGGAAATTCGTTCTGCACATCGTATTTGATCCAGCGTAGTTGAAACCCACCGTTTGGGTCTACTGGTAAATTTAAATGTAGTAATTTTTAATGTTTGTATCTTTAGCTTCAGAATTTATTTTCCAGATCATTGTAGTTATTTTCTCTTATTGTCCTTGTTCAAATGATTACGAATTTAATATTGTCCGATATTATTTTTTCGAAAGCTGGGCTATATTGGTTAATCAGGAAGAATACTTTGTATATTAAAAAGGCATAGGAGAGAATATGCTCTGCGACCATTGATCTGTTTTGTCTCCTAATTTTTATCACATTACATTGTGTATTGCCCTCAAAAGCCTTTTTAGAATTCAGGTATTTTAGTCCTACTCCAGCTACTGTTTCGCGCTTCAACGACATGTTTCTTCAGTGCTATTACTGATTTTATGCATGCCGCAAAGTAAAATTTCTTGTAGTATTTTTTGAATTAGATTTTGTTGATTATGTCATCTCATCACTCTGGTATAAAGACCGACATTCGCAAGAACTGTTGGACTTTAGTCGCCTCTTACGACAGCCTTGTCTTACTACGGCTGAATTCTTGAGCCCTTAGTCCGCAGGAGACTCTTTCCGTAATCTTTAACTTTAAATTGTTTCGGTGATCGTATTCAGTATTGGATTTTCGCCTAGCGCATTCGTCTTGTAATCATTACGCCAAAAAGAATAATTTTACTTTTACCCGACCATAGTTTATTCCGCCACTTTTCCTTTACGGGCGGATCTTGCGGACACTCATCATACAAATTACTTTCTTTAGCCTTCTATTCATAGTTCTATATACTTCCTTTTATTCTTAGTTCAGTCTTGAGTTACTCAGCTGTTAGCAAGGTATTGTTTGGATTATGCCCCACACATTCGCGTCTTCGTGACGTCTTTGCGGGCCTCCTTCGGCGAGTTTTCTTTTCGTTCCTAAGTTTTAATGCTTTTGAAATCATTTTGAA